GACCTGGCGCCGGAGCAAAGGGGACACGCACCGGGCACGCGGCGAGCAGGTGACCGAGCGCGCGAACACGCGCAAGGATACCCGAGCCGCCAGGGGCGCGACCGGGACGGCGGGCGCTGTGGCTGAGGCCTGCGAAGGGCAATACGGCCGGCGATTTCCCCAGGGCCCGGGGACCTCGCCGAGAGCTGCCGGGGCGAGATAGCCAACTCGTCCCGGAATTCGAAAACGAAGGACGCGCCCGTCTGATTCCACGCCGCCACGTCCCGGATATAGGGCGACCTCGCGCGGGCGCGAGGCGCCCGCCTGAAGAATCACCTGATCGCGCCCGTGCCACGGCAGGACCCCCGCGGCGCCGTGATTGGTCGCGGCCGACTGCGCCGCTGTGTTGCGCACCCCCGGGCTGGGGGTGCAGGCATCGATCCGCGATCGAACGCGATCGACGCCGCTTTTGCGTGCGAGCGGAGAAAGCGTGCGGTCGATCAAGCGGAGTGATCGAGCTAGCGAAAGAGAGAGAGAGCGAGAGAGTGCGTTGACGAGAGCGAGGAGGAACGAGCCGCTGTCGGACCTGCCGCCAGGGAAGCAGAGACGAGGATCGTGCCGGTGAGGTGACCCTCTTTAACGTGTGTAAAGCCACGGGCTGATCGAGGATCTTGCTCGCACTCTGAGGACGTGAACGCCATTTTAGTGTTAGCATCTCGTCGCGTGCGCCCCTTTGGCGACGCGTACATTGTAGTGCTCTTTGGTTTGGCGTATCGGCGTCCGTCCGCAAGTGCGTGGATTCTCATCGAATTTTCCGTGAGCGATCGAGAGTGTCGCGAGTCGCGTATCGAGCCACCCGGGGATCGTCGTCGCGAGTTCGCCGCAAAGCCCTCGCGCCTGAGCGCGCGAGCGTTAGAGTAAGTGTGTGAGTACGCGGAATCACGAGTGTCGTGCGTCGCGCTGTAGTGTGACATCGCGCGCGATTTCGTTGCGTGTCGGTGTGCGTCAATTTTCTGTCAGCTTCGTTTTCGTACGAGTATCTGGCGCGTAAATTTACGATCGATTTTCGCGGTAATAATTGTTGTCGTTAGACCTCGGTACTCGCGTCGTACCGAGCCCCGTACGTTATTGTATTATCGCGCCGTCGCGTTTCATATGCGGTTCTTTTCGTTTCCGGTCGA